TATGTCTTACAGTGATTCACAATTGCACCCCTGATCAGAAAACCACCCTCAGAATCCTTGGAACCTATGTCTTAATTCTTTCTGATGTATGTCAGCTAAATGAGGTTCAGCATCCTCTCTATATATGAATTTTTATTCATGATTACTCTACATTTCTGGCTCTGACCGAATGGCTCCAGGATGATTAAAATATTTCCTTTGTTTCTAAAGCATTGGACATTGACACAGAAAGCCAGAGTATTCTTTTCCCTTTGCAGCTCGTTTATCAACACCCCTCTGAGAGAATGAGTGAGGCAGGACAGTTCTGAGTGGCAAAAACACTGGATGGAAAGGGAGCTGCCTTAAGTTTCACCCATGATTCAGATTTGTTTACATTTGGGGAAACCTCAGGAAAAGTGGGATAAAAGCTTTGGTTCAATTGAAGTCATGTTGCTAACCCCCAGTGCTAATAATTAACTCAATTATGCTGAATTAATTTGATGTAATTACTGGTGATGGTGCAAAGGCAGCAGCCCAGAGAAAGTTTGAGAGACAGGAGGAACAGAAGTCTTAACAATACAAAATACCCCATAAATAGCATCTTTTTTTTTTTCCAGAATGAGTCAAAGACACAAAGTGAGTTCATTACAGTCATCTGGCTTCACTCAACCCTCCAAATTACCCCAGTACCCAGACAAATAGCTGTGAAATCCAGCAAGTGCACTAGAATTAGAGCAGGCCCTGACGAATTTGACACAGCACTCAGCACCAGTGTCTGTCCCCATCCTATTATCTAAACAATGCAGATTTAATAACATATCTAAGAGATCCACAATGCATTTCTTTTAACTGAAGACATTAATTAAGAACATTTTCCTGTTGTACTGTTGACAGTTGAGTGGTTTTTTGAGGAACAATCTGGAGGATGCTTACGGAGTCTTTTCATTTGATCTGCAGTTTTTATCTAGTATTTTCAGACTTATTCAGCTCAAAACAAACAAATCCCAACTATAAAAACCAAACAACTATCTTTCTCCTTCCTCATTTAATATTTCTGTGATTTGCTTTGAAAAAGTATGACAGAAATGCTTTCCTGCTACAAAAATACACACATTTTACCGAGGCTTTTTTAATGCTTATATACGAAAAGGAAAAAGTAATTGGAGGCATAAATCAGATGTGGTTCTCTTAAGTCTTGGGAAATTAAACAACGATGAAATAGAAGGAATTCTACTAATATCTATTAATGCTTGAAGAACCTACAGGACTGTGCCCTCCTCTCTCCACCCTGGAGGGAGCACACTCTGTCACACAGCCCCTGAGGGGCAGGCCAGGGGATGCCCTTACCCACCCAAACCCAGAGCAGGCAGAGCCCCAAACCCTGCAGCAGAGCAGAGCCCGGGCTCTCCGTGCTCCCTGTGCCACCTGAACCCCTGCAGCCCCAGCACAGACCCCACACACTGCAGGTGGGGCTGTAAAGCCTGGGGGGACCTGTCCTTGTTTGCTTCCAGCTGCACTGAGTGCATGGATTCAGCACCATGGCTGTTGGGTGCCTGTTGTAAAGAATTCAGCAACTGACAGCATCACCATATTCAGTGTTTTACAGCCCTGAAGGACTGGTGACACCTAACCACGGAGACCTGGGTGCCCCTGCTCTCTGGCTTCCATCTGAAACACTGCTCGACTTACGTCTGTCAGTGCTCTAAATACACCAGCTTCTAAGCCTCTACTGCATCTTTATTATCCCTGATGACAAGGACAAAAATATTACCTCTAACATCACCAATTGCTTCTGAGGAGAGATTCCAAGTGCTTAGCTGTAAGAAAGGAATAGTAGGTGCTGCTTGCATGCCCCCAGACCACATCCACACCAAGTTCTGCTGGTTCTCAAACACAGCTGATCTTTCAGAACTCAGTTTAATTGCCACCAGGCTCTGATCAGACTCATCAGTTCCATTACATGCATAATTTATGCATTTGATTTCAACAGATCATTTTGTGCCCAGTTCCAAGAGGGCAAAAAGTGTTTTCCATGGGGAAGCTGCTAACACTTTCTGAAGAACAATTTTTTAAAAAATATTATTTCTGAAGAGACACTACATTTTGAAGTAGTGCGAGGGATTGTTTGAAGTCTCCTACATTTGTTTGGACAGATACTCAAATTTTCTCTGTGCCTACTTACCACAATCTCCTTGGTTTAGCGAGCTGAGTTACTGCTGGAAGGGGAGCCAAGGGGAGCCAAGCTCAAGGAACGGGCAGGCCCTGTGACAAGGCGGAGGGAAGAACAGCCCCAGGTACTTCAGCCTGCACAGGGGAACAAGGTGTGGGCTGACACATCCCAAACCCACTGCACGAGGATCTGACAGGGCAAGGGTGTCTGCATAAACGAGTTCATCAGCCTCTCCCTTCCACCGCCCCCTCCTCCCCCAGAACTCCCTCTGCCCACAGCCCAGCCCTCCTTTGCCATTCTCCCATCACAGCCTTGATTTTCCCTTTCATGGATTTTTGCTTGAAAAAGCATCACTGCCTCGATTGTCTATTTTCAGCCTATATTTAAGAAAACCCTTTGGTTCCATTTGTAGCCACATCCTGTCTCAGCCTCCCCCTCTTTTTGTTCCTAAATATAAGGCTGATGCAATTTGATGTGACATGACAAAATAGCACATTTGCATTGGCAGAAACTTTCAGCAGCAGTAATTAAAGGGAGTAGATGAGACACTGCTGAAATTGGTGTTTATTTAGCCTAGAAATAAAAGGCTTAAAGATGTCTTGAGAGGGATGTTCGAGTGTGTCATGACCATGAAAGTCATCGATGAGTGTTGCCTTCTATGGGCTTCTTTTCTGCCGAAGTAAACGGTCGCTCAAACAATGTAATCGATTTAAAGAGAGTAAAAAAATAAATCACAGTTCTGTAGACCATATTCCTAACCAGGGAAAATTATTTAATGCATTTCTTGGGATTATAAATAGGACCAGGACTCTTGTGGTTACACGTAAGACAAGGTCAGTCTACCTCTAACTTCAGAGCACAGGCTCTCTCAAAATGAGAACTAAGTTCTCATTGAGAACTAGCTGCTTAAGCACTAGGTGCCACAGTGAGAATTAGGTGCTTAAGCACCTGAATTTTTGATCTGAGATGCAGCAGCAGAGGATGGGTACTCACCTCCACCTACAGCACAGATTTTGGTTAATTGTCAGACAGGAATCCAGAAATGGCAGCCTGAATGCTGTGACTTCAACAGGATTCACACGACAGATTAAAACTCCCCGTAGCTACAAAACTCATGAAATAATTGCCTGTGCCTGGTTTTGCTGAGCGGATGCACTGCAAACACCTGACAGGATTTGCAGGAAGCTGCCAGCTTCCTGCACTCTATTCCATTAGGCATGGCAGCAGTAGAAGGCAGTGGTGGAGGAAGAGCAATGTTTGGAAGCTGAAGGGTTTTTCTTGACTTTTAGAATGCAAGTTTAGAATTCAGTTAAAGGTCTGGTGGATGTTCCATAGGCCACAGGATTTAGCAGACATGATATGGTTCCAAGTGAAACTTCCTGCTCTCAGGAGCATCTTCCCTCTTTCCTTGTGCACACAAGGCTATTCTTCAACACCCATCTGTGATCAGCTCAAACCGGCAGCCCACGTTTTGAGCAGGCTCGTTTCCATCCGAACACAGATGGCACCAAGAACAGGGCAGGCCAGAAAAAAATCAGTTTGCATATTATGCTTCAGCTTTTATGGGTCAGATTACCATTCAAAGCCATCAAAATGGCAACCCATATGGGATGTGTCTGCCATTGGAACTGAAGTGATACACCATCATAATCTTAACGGGGTTGGTTAGGAAAGGTTTGATTAACCATTAATTAACCTCTGATATTTAAAAGGAAAGACATTTTCCTTCCCCAACAAATTTTTGACTTTGACATATGAATAAAATAGCTTTAGTGAGTCAAAAAGGAAAAGACATTATCCCATCCTTATCCCTGAACAACTGCATCGACACGGCTCTTTGGCAGAAGGGAGTTCAGCCTCTGTGCCAAACATTCGCTTCCTCAGTGAGCCAGGTGCAGATGTTGGCTGTGTCATCTGTTCAACTTCTTTGTTCTACAAGCCAGAAAATTGTTCCCACAGTTTTGGGGGAAAATGGGGATATGAAGAGCTCTTTGCATGTTTTCACTGATGGAAGAATATCAGCTGTTTTAAAGGCAGTCTTGTAGAAATAAGAAACGTGTCGTTAACACCTGTAACTATTAACCAGCAGAGAGCTGTGTCCTAAGGACCCTCAAGGGATGCTGCCACAAGATCAAAGCCATGGCATTCTGTTTCCAGCCTCCTACCCACCCTGTCTCCCTGCAGTGCCAGCTACAGCTGACTCCCTGTTCCAGGGGAGCATTATCCCAGATGCTGCAGAAGCCACGGTGCTGCAGGGACAGACTTTCAGGCTGGCAGGTCTTTCCTGGGAGAGTCTGTTGAACAGTAAAAGGGATTTCAAACCTCCTTTTATGCTATTGTGGCACCCAGAACTCAAACAACTGCCATGCTAACTAAGAGCCAGGGCCACTGCCCTGTGTCATTGCCAGTGGCAACATTCTTCAGTCACAAGTTTTTCCCCCCCCGACCTCTCCACATGATACTTTGGTCAATGCTGATACCTGAGGTGTTTATTCTCAACCAGATACAATACACACAGCAACAGAGATTCCTTCCACCATTCCAAGATTCCTGATCTAGTTGTAGTCCTGACAGAAGTATGAAAATATTGTTTCCCCTGGTATCTTTACTGGCAATTTGCAATTTGAGTTCTGCTACTGGATTCATTCATGGCTGGACTGCAGACAGGGTGTTCCTGAATACAAAAGGCTGTTCAGAAATATTTCCTGCAAACATGTATGGTTATAGATATCAATTTTCCACCAACTTCATTTCTACCATTTCTTTATGATTTGGCATTTTCACCTTTTTCCCTGTGTGAGGCAAATAGACTCCTAATGATTTCCATAAAGCAAACAAAAAAATCACTTACAGCATCCAGAGCACAGGAACTTTAATTATCTTCACAGATTAGGTCTGTCCAAGTCCAAAAGGAAGCGAGAGACCTGCAGAGAAGAATCAATTTTCATTATCTGCTTCTCCTCAAATCACTACTTAAAGTGCCATCAATAAAGAAGTGCCAAGAAGCCCATCCAAAGCCCATTTTATCCCCATGGAAGCTTTCACTTTTGTCTGACCAGTTACCTCAGACATCAGTGCACTGCCTCGACACGAACAGGTTATTGCTTTCAGTCATCTACTCAGAGAAACTTTAATAATGATCCACTACAAAAAGATTAAAGTAGAGAGAAATTCCAAAGCACTGTAACTGAACCTTCAATATTTCCTGATAAGAGTTGCTAGAGGTAAAGCATTTCCCTCATTTAGAAAGGTAGTTATGGTTTCTAGCACTCAGAACTCTGTACAATGACACAGTAACTACTTTACAGTATTCTTTTGAACACATTTTAACTGCATGCCCACATTGTTTCAGAGTTGCACCCTGGTGTGGTTTCAGGAGGACTCTCATTTGGCTCATAACAGAATTCAGGCTTCTGTTTCCCACCTGTCTGACCTTCCAGTGATCTGCACGAGTTTACCCCCTTTCCATTGGGTTTGGCCCAGAAAAAAAAATGCTTCAGACCCAGGAGACAACTGAGTGCACACAAGGAGCTCCTCTTTATGGAGCACTGACTGCACAGTGAGCAAAGGAAATCAACCATTTTCTAAAGTCAACACTGGTTTGTTTATTTAGAACCTCTCCTAAGTTTGTTGTAGTCAAGAGAACGGATTGCTCTGACTATCCAAAGACATCTGGATCAGGTTTTTATCTCAACTCGTCTTGCACAGACTTTGAAAAACTACTTGAAACAAAATCCTGGAAGATAACAATGACAGAGACTCCAAACTGATCTGTTCTGCCTCCCTTTGAAAGATGCAAGTCTTTGAAAAATCCAAGGCAAAACTCCAAACTCCATTTACAAACACTGGATCAAAGGTAACTGTTGTCATGGATGACATTTTTTTCTCCAGGTATTAATAGTATCATAACTTGGTGACACGTGGTGGTTGACAACAGCCTGGGATGTTCAAGTTTTGGTATCTAATTCCAGCACTTTTATTTGCCCTCTGAAGGCCATATCAAGATGCACACGGGCAGATTTCCTGTAACAGGTGATGTGAAACAAAGACCCAGAAGAACAGATGCAGCTTTAAAAGCTCATCCTGAGTCTACTGATGCTTTCTAGCTCTGGTACAAGAACTGAACACCAAAAGCTGCTTTATTTTCATCCATTGTCTAAATTTTCTTTTCTGAGAGCAGATAGGATGTCTAGTAACTGCCTTGGCTCAGTCCTGCAGAAAACACCTCTTATTGAGCATTGTTAATTAACATTTAGCAGATCCACATTTAGCTCTCCCACCAGGACACTCAGGTGCCCTTTCAGAAGTGCCCTGTCCTTCACTGATAACTTTTAGCCAATGTAATACCCAAAGAGCAATGCAATTAACTTCTCCTTAGGCTGATATTCAAACCAGCAGTTACTTTCATAATTCACTTAGCAGAGCATCAGGCACCTTGGCTCAGAAAGCTTTCCAAGTCTACTCCAAATACGCCCCGCTGAGCTTTGGGAATACCATAAAATGGTTGCTCTATTTCATTGTTCAGTGATAAACACTGCTTAAGGTCTAACTTGAATTTCCACTCTGGAAGTAGAAAAGTCTTTTAAAGAAAAATTAGTTCACGTCAAACTCGAGGTTTCTTTGCACTGTCAAAGTGTATAAAGAGCACTGATGTAAATGTGAATTACACTCCTAACACAGTTACTAGCTGGTATAAGTTAGTTAAAGCCAATAATCCCCAACTTGCTGTGCTATTTTTATCTACTCAAAGCCCAGTGCCTTCTCTTGATCCCACAGTACAAAGCTGACCTGCACTCAATCCCTTCTGTGCATCAGCCTGGTGACAAGATTTCTGGATGTTTGTACACCACCACCCAACAGCTGCAGCCTGGAACAATGTCTGCATGGTATGGTTTATTTAAGAATATAACCTTTAAAAACAAACAATACATTTCTAGTGTGCCCCTAAAACACGTTTGAGAAAACCCAGGCCTGCTTACCATGTGCAGACAGACTTCCAAGCCAAATTTGGAGCCCTTCCTGTCTGTGATGGAACAACAGCATTGCTGTGCAACTTCATATTTATCCTTTATCATACATACTTGCCATATCCAAAAGGAATACACAAATGCTATATGTAAAATTTTAATAAAGGGATTGATTATCATTTACTAAAGGTAAACAGGTATAAATCTGCCGTTCCTAACATGCCAAAACTTACTGATCAGTTCATCTTTATGGAAATCTGCTTCAGCAGGCAGACAGAGATCAAAGCCACACACACATTATTTTTCAGAGGGTTGCCAGTGTTTGTTTGTGGAATGATGAATTCCATGAATTGCAACATCCCCTTGTCTCTGTATGCCACAACTCTGCTTCCCACTGGTGTGAGAACAGCATCAGGGGCAGAATCGACTGACCTTCTGACACCTTTCTTCCCCAGCACGACCTGGTCAGCTTTTACTGGGAGAAACATTTCCATAATAATCTGGCCAGACTTCTCCCTCATTTGTTTGCAATGAAAGAGTTAATATCTGTGACCCAAATATAGAGACCCATTTTAAACTTGCTGAAAATTGCTTTTTAATCCTAGCTCTCGAGGATTTCCTTTGAAACCATCTGCCATGCACGCTGGGTACTCTTTGCCTGTATATGTGCAGGATTACTATAATATGGATTCTTTTGTGTAACTTAATACATTTCAGCATATTAAAAAATTAGTTGAAATTTCCATTCTTTTCTGATTTCAACTGTATGCCATAAAAATGATTGTAAAAGTCAAAACCACTGGCAAGTTCACAGCAAAGCCAACACCCATATTTATCTTATTTCCTGCAGTATTTACCTTGCAATTCTAATATTTAGTCAGTCTAACACTGTCTGGATTTAAGCAAGTAGTTATGAGTTATTTAACTAATGCAACTCATTCACGTGCTTAAAATTAAGCTCAAGCATTTTGCTGGACAGGAATGGATTTAAGCATGTGCTTTCCCATGCTTAAATTTCCCAGCCTTACTTTTAAGACTGGAAGACACAATTAACATCATAATAATAGGAGATCAAAAAATATTTCCAAATATTATTTCAAATCTATTGCCCAGCTTTTTCTATTTTCTTGCTATGAACCTTTATGCAACTGGTTTTTTTATAGCACAAATACTGAAGAGAAGGAAACAAGTCACGCTCCTAAAAAACTGAATCTTAAGATTGGTACATACAACCATATCTATTTTAGCAAACACCCAAAACTTAAACCAAGGCAAGTAGATTGCTTCCTATCACAATAATCACAGCCAGAGTGATTGAAATAGCAAACATTCAGCAAACTACATTTAGAATCAATTTACTGGATCAACCTATAAAGTAAAAAAAAATTAAATCCCAGCACAATTATTGAGCATCTTCAATGTGAAATACTTTTTAAAATTGTGATTTGCCTGCAAATATTCAGAGAACAGAAAATAAGGAAAATTATCTATTTAAACAGTTTTAATCACATACTGTGACACAAATATTTTGGGAGACAGAGAGGCCACAGCCTGTGAACATCTTTGATCCCTACAAACACACCTGAGTGCACCAAACCTGTGCATTGGCTTCATGAGCCCCCGAGCCCTCACTCACTCACACGACTCATTTCACAGCCAGTCACCCAATATCTGATACAAGGGAATGGCAATGCAGGATCCCCCACCAACACATTCCCCTCCCAACCAAAGGGAGGATCCCATTCCCTTTGATGCCTTTTCCCTGGAAAGGAGCAGTGTTAGGTGTGATTAATATACAGGACAGATCTACACATGCAGATGTTGGAAGAATGTAGAGAGGAAAAAACAAGCAAATAATTTTGTTTCAGCAGTAACAGATGTTGAAGCATCATCCTGCAGACACATTACTTTTAATACAATACTGCTCATAAAGTGAGGGGAGAGGACAGAATCAATGCCCAATTACCCAGTTCTTCCAGGTTTCCATTTTAATGAGCTTCCTGGATGATTTTGTTCTTTTAATTTTCCTCCTCTAACAACCCTATCAAATTAGTTTTGTCGAAAACATCGGCAAAAGGAAAATCAGCTGTCTAAAAAAATCCTAAAACTGCAGGTTGCAGGTTCTTAAAAACGACACGTGACACGTCGGTTCCTTCTGTACAAAGGCAGAGCATTCCCAAGATCCTGCTGGGATTGGACTTGAGTGACTGAAAACAGCTTCATGTCCTGACACATCTGCCAATGGCAAATGGATAGGAACAGACTAACAGTGCCATGGCATTTGCAGATAGAGCAGTGCTGGAAAAACAACCACATGCAGAATAAATAGATTAAAGCCACCTTTCTGTGGCCAAGGGAGGGATTAGGAGAAGCCTGGCCTGCATTCCAGCTGTGAAGTAACCTGCTTTCCTGCTAGACTGAATTTGCCACTCATGTAATGGACAGTGCCACAGTGACTCCCCACCTTCAGTTTGGTCAGGGATGTGAGGAGCTGGTGACACCAGGGATGGCAGTGGGGCCACTGCTGGAGCCACAGAGCTCAGCCCTCCCCAGATGTGCCTCTTGGCACACACAGGCCTCACCCCAGCCCAAAGCCCAAAGGAGCCCTGCACAGCCCTGCAGGGAAGCAGTGCCAGGGCTGGCACCAAGGCAGGGCTGGCACCAAGGCAGGGCCAGCACGGTGGGAAGGCCAGCAGGCACTGCAGTGAGGACACCCCAGGGTCTCTGAACAGCAGGGACCCAGGACTGGCCACCTACAGAGCAGCAGCAATTCAGAGAGGCTGCCAGGAGATGGATGTGCAGACTTGGACACTGTACAGATCCTCTAGGATCTGCTGAGCAGCACAACATCACACTGCAAAACCAAGGCTTAGAGCACGTTGGAACAAGAGCCACCTCTCTCCATCACTTACACTGGCACATAATGCTGCTACAGTGGCTTCTGAAAGGCTCCTGTC